CTACATAGAATAGTTGGAGAAAGGCTCACAGGCCAAGGCATGTGAAATGAAGCCTGACATACGAAAGGGGAGCTGAGATGCCAAAAGCTGGGTTGAAGAACATTTTAAGCAGAGGAAAAGTATATACGAAGGTCCTAAAGGATGAATGAACTTGGCTGGCTTAAAGATAAAAGACCAGTGTGGATGGACAGAAGCAACTGAGAAAGAGAATTGACTTTAGGTTGAGAAGGAATACAGAAGTAACTACGCGAAAAAAACAAAAGAAAAAAGTTTGCATTTAGGTTAAAATAAAAGAATTCATAGAAAAGTTTAAAGCATAAGAATTTTATAGTCTGAGTTACACTTTTAAAATGGATTAAAGACTTTAAGATATAACTCTGGCTCCAACATGGAGAATCCATTACACAAGGCAATAGAGGAAGCATTGTGAAAGTGTTACGTGAGAAATAATGATATATTATTAGGCAAGGGAGATGGGCAGAGGCAGAATTGAAATTCTAAAGACACATGCACACGTATGTTTATTGCGGCACTCTTCACAATAGCAAAGACTTGGAATCAACCCAAATGTCCATCAGTGACAGATTGGATTAAGAAAATGTGGCACATATACACCATGGAATACTATGCAGCCATAAAAAAAGGAGGAGTTTGTGTCCTTTGTAGGGACATGGATGCAGCTGGAAACCATCATTCTCAGCAAACTATCGCAAGAACGGAAAACCAAACACCGCATGTTCTCACTCATAGGTGGGAACTGAACAATGAGATCACTTGGACTCGGGAAGGGGAACATCACACACCAGGGCCTATCATGGGGAGGGGGGAGGGGGGAGGGATTGCATTGGGAGTTATACCTGATGTAAATGACGAGTTGATGGGTGCTGACGAGTTGATGGGTGCAGCACGCCAAGATGGCACAGGTATACATATGTAACAAACCTACACGTTATCCACATGTACCCTAGAACTTAAAGTATAATAAAAAATAAAAAATAAAAAGAAATTCACTTTCGAGATATAGTCAACAGGATTTGCAGATGAACTGAATTTTCTTCCCCCCCCCCCACCTTTTTTTTCCTTTTCTTTTGTTTTGTTTTGTTTTGTTTTTTGAGATGGAGTTTCGCTCTTGTTGCCCAGGCTGCGGTGCAATGGCACGATCTCAGCTCACCACAACCTCCGCCTCCTGGGTTCAAGCGATTCTCCTGCCTCAGCCTTCCAAGTAGCTGGGATTACAGGCATGTGCCACCATGCCTGGCTAATTGTGTATTTTTAGTAGAAATGGGGTTTTTCCATGTTGGTCAGGCTGGTCTTGAACTCCCGACCTCAGGTGATCCGCCCACCTCGGCCTCCCAAAGTGCTGGGATTACAGGCTTGAGCCACCATGCCCAGCCAGAACTGAATTTTCAAAGTATCAAAGAGAGAGAAATAGTGATGGGTACTCTGGAATCTGGATTAATGTCATGGCCATTTATTGAGATGAAAACTCCTGGAGAATGAAAATTCATAAGGAGGAATTTAATTTGAGCATGCTAATTTGCTATGAAATTAGTATCGATTAAATATCTTATTAAAAATAGATCTCGGGCAGGGCACAGTGGCTCACGCCTGTAATCCCAGCACTTTAGGAGGCTGAGGCGAGTGGATCACGAGGTCAGGAGACCGAGACCATCCTGGCTAACACAGTGAAACCCCATCTCTACTAAAAATACAAAAAAATTAGCCGGGCGTGGTTGTGGGTGCCTGTAGTCCCAGCTACTCAGGAGGCTGAGGCAGGAGAATGGTGTGAACCTGAGAGGCAGAGCTTGCAGTGAGCCGAGATCATGCCACTGCACTCCAGCCTGGGTTAAGTGAGAGAGTCCGTCTCAAAAACAACAACAACAACAACAACAACAACAAAACTCTCATACTGAATTAATAAAAAACTCAAAAGTTTAAGAAATATACCTAAATCAAAATAGTAATAAAATGTTAAAATAAATAGATGGATTAAAATCCATCTGAGAAACTCAAATAGGAACAGTGCAGTACTATTAAATATTAACACAGAATCCAAAGTAAGAGTCATCAAATTAGTGGCTATATTGCATTGACATGTTCCACTATGAGTTTTTTTGCACCTACACTTGTAATATACACTTCCTAAAAACTATTAATCAAGGACACAAAAAGTACATATAAAATAATTTGTAATATTATATTATTAACTATAAATTTAACTTTGTTATCCACATTTTTAATATGGATATGGAGAAAAATATTGGCATATGGAAAAAATATACACACTGAATCACAAAGAATATCTCAAAAAATCATAAAATGCCACATTTACAAGTATCTATTTTCCTACAAATACATACAAAATATATTTCAGTTAAAAATAAATAACAAAAGCACAATCACTAAATCTCATTCACCACTATACATACTTTACAATTTAGAAATTAAAAGTATTCCATAGTAACTTTTAGATTAAAAAGATAATAAACAAATCAAATTATAGACTATGATGGAATAATTAAGTATTTCGTAGTAACAGAGGTATTTCTATTAAAATAAATGGGGAATAAGGATTCTTGTAAATAGTATTAGTAATATTGTTTTAGAAGTTCTAGCTGTAAGGCATGAAAAAAAGTCAACATTATAGCTTGTGTAAAGAATAAAATAATTTAGTGTGGAACAAATAAGTTTCTTTTAGACATTTTTGGAAAGGCTTTCTATTTCAAAAATAAATAAATTTTAAATATATATATGTATGCATGTCTACATGCACACACAATAAAATTGGATCTCCCTTTACAACTACATTAAAATAAACTAAAAATGGCTAAATATTAAAATTTTAAGCCAAATTAAATCCCCCAACACTAAAAATTATACAAAAAGTTATACACTTGACTACATATAAAGTCAAAATTGTTTTAGTGTTAAAAAATTAGAAGCTACTTTAAAAGACAAACTAGTGAAATATTCAAAACTCATATAATAATTTTTGGCATACTTATTCTTTGTTAAAAAATAATTATTTTAAATATCTATTAACCAAAAGGATAGAACATGCGGATTCAGTTAAATAGATTACAGCATAAAACAGAAGAAATAAAACTGGTCGTTAAACAAGGAAACATATTTAATCTCACAAGTAATCAAATAAATTCATAATAAAATACTGACATATCAGATTTTGGCCTATCAAATTTTCAAAGAACAAAATGGTGAAGAAACTGTGAACCTGAATTCTGATTAAATGCTGCCAAGAGTGTAAATTGATGAATCCTTTCAGGGAGGTAATTTTCTATTATGTATCAAGATTTTTAAAATACTTAATGTGAATTTGATAACATATTTTTACTTCTAGTAATCCCTCATTAAGAAATTATTACTGATATGGACAATAGAAATCTATGCAATGATGTTCATATGGGGAAACATTTGTGGTATAGGTGAAAACAAAGGATACTTAACTTACAGGAATATCTCACTTTATGGTACTTCACTTTATTGCACTTCATAGATGCTGCATTTTTTGCAAACTGGTTTGTGGCAAGTCTGCACTAAGCAATTTTATCAGTCTATCAGTGTCATTTCCCAATGCTACACAGAGACGGCATTTGTACATTCTGGATCTCTGTGTCACATTTTGATAATTCTCACAATGTTTCAAGCTTAATTATTATTATATCTATCATAGTGATCTGTAATCAGTGATCTTAAACTTTCTATTGTAATTGTTTGGGGGCACTACAAACCACTCCCATATAAGACAGCAAAATTGATTAATACATGTACGTGTTCTTACTGCTCCACAGGCCAGTCATTCCCCTATCTATATGCTTCACCAAGATCCTTCCTATTCCCTGAGATACAACAGTATTTAAATTAGGCCAAATAATAATCCTACAATGGCCTCTAAGTGTTCAAGTGAAAGGAAGAGTCACGTATCTCTCACTTTAAGTAAAAAGCTATAAATGATTAAGTGTAATGAGGAAGACATGTCAAAAGCCAAGATAGGCTGTAAGCCGGGCCTCTTGCTCCAAACAGTTAGCCAAGCTGTGAATACAAATCAAAAGTTATTGGCAGAAATTTAAAGTGCTACTTCAATGAACACACAAATGATAAGAAAGTGAAACAGCCTTATTACTGACATGCAGAAAGTTTCAGTGGTCTTGACAGAAGATCAAGCCAATTATAACATTCTCTTGAAACGAAGCCTAACCCAGTGCAAACTCTCAATTCAGTGAAAGCCTAGAGATAGATGTGAGGAAGCTGTAGAAGAAAGCTGGAAGCTAGCAGAAGTTGGTTGATGAAATTTAAGGAAGGAAGCCATCTCCATAACATCAAAGCACAAGATGAAGCAGCAATGCTGATGGAGAAGCTACAGCAACTTATTCAGACGATCTAGCTAAGATAAATGATGAAGATGAATGCACTAAACAACAGATTCTCAATGTAGAAGAAATAGCCCTATACTGGAAGATTTCATCTAGGTCTGTAGTAGGGAGAAGTGAATGCCTGTCTTGAAAGCTTCTAAAAACAGTTTGACTCTCTTTTTAAGGGCTAATGCTCCTGATGACTTTAAGTTGAAGCCAATGGTCGTTTACTATTCAAAAAATCCTAGAACCCTTAAGAATTATGCTAAATCTACTCTGCCTGTGTTCTATAAGTGGATCAATAAAGCTTAAAAGATAGCACATCTATCTATAGCGCAGTTCACTGAATATTTTAAGCCCACTATTGAGACTTGCTGATAAGAAAAATGCCCCTCCCTCCCCTCCCCCACCGGGCGACCGCTGCGAGACGGGCTTGGCCTGGGGCCAGGCTCCGGCCCCGGGCGGTACGTGGGGAGCAATCTGTGTGGGGGGAGCGGCCTGGAAGGGTGGCAGCTGCGTGTGCAGTACTATGGGGGCGGCGGGGCCTCTGGGCGCCCCTTCTCTGCCTCCTAACCTCGCCTCTGTGCTTCCCTCTCGCCCGCCCTGTTCCTCCTCCCATCCCGCAGCTCCGTGCCCGGGGCCCTGCCTGCAGAGGAGACAGGTATATGCTGGTCACTTTCGAAGAGCCGCCCTATGCTATCAAGGCTGAATGGAAAGAAAACCATGCGGGCGAGGTGGTGGGCGCCTGTAGTCTCAGCTACTCGGGAGGCTGAGGCAGGAGAATGGCGTGAACCCGGGAGGCGGAGCTTGCAGTGAGCTGAGATCTGGCCACTGCACTCCAGCCTGGGCGACAGAGTGAGACTCCGTCTCAATAAAAAAAAAAAGGAAAACCATGCAACGTTTATGAATGAACTGAAAAACCTTCAGGCTGAAGGACTTACGACTCTTGGCCAATCCCTAAGGACAGCTTTTGATTTATTAAATTTAAATAGATTAGTAACTGGCATAGACAACTATGGGCAGAGAAGAACCCCTTTTTTCTTGAAGTCAGAAATAATTATCACAGTTATTGATGGGAGCAAGTTGACCATCACCAGTGGAGTCCAGGATGAGCTTCATTTACCTCTTAATTCTCCTTTGCCTGGAAGTGAATCGACCAAGGAACCTTTTCATTGGGATCAGAGACTCTGTGCATTAGTGTTGGCGGTTGCCCGGCACCATGTCAGTAGAATCAGAACAGTTGACAGGTGTGCCTTTAGATGACTATGCAATCACACCAATATGTGAAGTGACAGGCAGCCATTCATATTTTGTGTGTTCTCCAAGAACACTTAATCAGTGTCTAGAGTCCTTGGTGCAGAAAGTACAAAGTGGGGTGGTAATAAACTTTGAAAAAGCAGGACCAGATCCTTCCCCTGTAGAAGATGGGCAGCCAGATATTTCAAGGCCTTTTGGATCTCAGCCTTGGCATAGCTGTCACAAACTTGTATATGTCAGACCAAATCCTAAAACTGGGATTCCTATAGGTCATTGGCCTGTTCCAGAGTCTTTTTGGCCAGATCAAAATTCTCCAGCACTACCACCTCATACATCTCATCCTGTAGTGAAGTTTTCCTGTACAGACTGTGAACCAATGGTTATTGATAAACTTCCTTGTGACAAATATGAGTTGGAACCTTCACCACTGACTAAATTTATCCTGGAAAGGAAATCTCCTCAAACATGTTGGCAGGTGTATGTGAGCAATAGTGCAAAATATAGTGAACTTGGTCATCCTTTTGGTTACTTGAAAGCCAGTACAGCACTGAACTGTGTCAACTTATTTGTGATGGCTTACAATTATCCAGTCCTTCTTCCCCTCTTAGATGACTTGTTTAAAGTGTGTAAGGCAAAACCAACATTGAAGTGGAGACAGTCATTTGAAAGTTGTTTGAAGACAATGCCTCCTTACTATCTCGGGCCCTTGAAGAAAGCTGTTAGTATTATGGGAGCACCTAACCTAATAGCAGACAGTATGGAATACGGACTTAGTTACAGTGTCATTTCACACCTCAAAAAACTGAGTCAACAAGCCAAAATAGAATCTGATCGAGTCACTGGATCTGTAGGCAAAAATGGTAGTACAGGAAACTGGAATAAAACTCCGGAGCTGATCACATGGTTTATCAATGGCATATAGGGAAGATTTTCAACAACTCCTCCAGGGAATTTCAGAGGATGTCCCTCACAGACTGCTAGACCTTAATATGAAGGAATACATTGGGTTCCAAGTCGCTTTGCTGAATAAGGATTTGAAGCCACAGACATTTAGAAATGCTTATGACATACCAAGATGAAATCTTTTGGATCACTTAACAAGAATGAGATCTAATCTTTTGAAGCACACTTGCAGATTTCTTAAAGGACAGGATGAAGATCAGTGCACAGTGTTCCTATAGCACAAATGGGGAACTACCAGAAATACCTCAAGCAAGTACCTTCTCCACTAAGAGAACTTAATCCTGATCAGCCACAAAGGTTGCATACATTTGGCAACCCCTTTAAGCTGGATAAGAAGGGTATGATGATAGATGAAGCAGATGAATTTGTGGCTGGACCTCAAAATAAACATAAACGACCTGGAGAACCAAATATGCAAGGGATCCCTAAAAGACATTGGTGTATGTCTCCACTACTAAAAGGGAGACAGCAGAATCCTGTTGTAAGCAATCATGTAGGGGGAAAAGGACCACCTGTACCTATAACTCAAGCACAGCCAGATCTTATTAAACCTCTTCCTCTTCATAAAATTTCAGAAATTGTTGCGGGAAGTCAGGGACCCCGAACAGAGGGACTGGCTGAAGCTATGGCAGAAGAACATAAATTGTGAAGATTTCATGGACATTTATTAGTTTCCCAAATTAATACTTTTATAATTTCTTATGCCTGTCTTTTTTTTTTTTTACTATTTTTTTTTTTTTTTTGAGACTGAGTCTGGCTCTGTCACCCAGGCTGGAGTGCAGTGGCCGGATCTCAGCTCACTGCAAGCTCCGCCTCCCGGGTTTACGCCATTCTCCTGCCTCAGCCTCCGGAGTAGCTGGGACCACAGGCGCCCGCCACCTCGCCCGGCTAGTTTTTTTGTATTTTTTAGTAGAGACGGGGTTTCACCGTGTTAGCCAGGATGGTCTCGATCTCCTGACCTTGTGATCCGCCCGTCTCAGCCTCCCAAAGTGCTGGGATTACAGGCTTGAGCCACCGGGCGCCCGGCTATGCCTATCTTTACTGCAATCTCTGAACATAAATTGTGAAGATTTCATGGACACTTATCACTTCCCCAATCAATACTCTTGTGATTTCCTATGCCTGGCTTTACTTTAATCTCTTAATCCTGTCATCTTCGTAAGCTAAGGAGGATGAATGTCGCCTCAGGACCCTGTGATTGTGTCAACTGCGCAAATTGTTTGTAGAGCATGTGTGTTCGAACAATATGAAATCTGGGCATCTTGAAAAAAGATCAGGATAACAGCAATGTTCAGGGAACATCAGAGATAAGATTTCTGGCTGCCAGTGAGCCGGACGGAACAGAGCCATATTTCTCCTCTTTCAAAAGCAAATAGGAGAAATATCGCTGAATTCTTTTTCTCAGCAAGGAACATCCCTGAGAAAGAGAATGCGCCCTGAGGATAGGCCTATGAACAACCCCCTCAAGTCGTGCTGTCTTTTATGGTCGAAGCTGAAGGGTTGAATTAAGCCCCGGTTTCCTGTAGCTCTCCCAGGTATATTAGGATGAGGAAAATTCCCGCCTAATAAATTTTGGTCAGACAGGTTGTCTGCTCTCAAACCCTGTTTCCTGATAAGATGTTATCAATGACAATGTGTGCCCAAAACTTCATTAGCAATTTTAATTTCGCCCCATCCTGTGGTCCTGTGATCTCGCCCTGCCTCCATTTGTTTTGTGATATTTTATTACCTTGTGAAGTATGTGATCTCTGTGATCCACACCCTATTCGTGCACTCCCTCCCCTTTTGAAAATTGCTAATAAAACTTGCTGGTTTTACAGCTCGGGGAACATCACGAATCCTGCCAACATGTGATGTCTCCCCCGGACACCCAGCTTTAAATTTCTTTCTCTTGTGCTCTTTCCCTTTATTTCTCAAACCAGCCAAGACATTTAGGAAATAGAAAAGAACTCATGTAACCATCGGGAGCAGGTTCTCCTGACAAGAAACCACTAAGGATTTGATAGTACATGATGTGGTTGAAAATCATGTTGCAGACCAACTTTCATCAGACATTACACCAAATGCTATGGATACTGAATTTTCAACATATTCTCCAGTCAGTTTACTGGAATGGCTAACCAATCATACAGAGGCAGGCTCTTGGTCATGACCATTTAGGAACCAATGACCTCACTGTTGGTGGATTTTTAGAAAATTATGAGGAGCCAAGAGATAAAGAACAATGTGCTGAAAAGAACATACCAGCATCTTCACTCAACAAAGGAAAGAAAGTGATGCATTGCAAAAGCCGTGAAGAGGTCAATACCAAACTAAAAGCACAACTAATGAAAGAGATCCGAAAGCCAGGGAGAAAATATGAAAGAATCTTCACTTTACTGAAGCATGTGCAAGGCAGTTTACAAACAAGACTAATATTTTTACAAAATGTCATTAAAGAAGCATCAAGGTTAAAAAACGAATGCTAATAGAACAACTGTAGAACTTCGTGGATGAAACTCATCAAAGAGCCAATCGGATCAACCATATTAACAACAATTAAAAGAAAATAGAATGTGGCCACTTATTTCACTATCTTCTTCAAATACAAAGTAAATACAAGACTGTTGTGATCTTGCATTCATTTTATGGCGTGCATTGTTGACTATTTGAAATACTAAAAGCAAATCTACAGATCCTTTTCCCATCATTTTACAGTGACCTTTTCTTCATTTTGGTTTATTTTTGTAATGTGAAAAGCACCATTCTAAAAAACATTTTTATTTAACAAACTAAAAATATTCCTCCAAAAAAAAGAAAGATGCCTTATGAAATATTAATGCTCATTGGCAATGCACCTATTCACCCAAGAGCTCTGATAGACATGTACAAGGAGAGTAGTGTTATTTTCATGCCTGCTAAAACAACATCCATTCTTCAGCCCACGGATCAAGGAGTAATTCATCTTTCAAATCTCATTATTTAAGAAATACATTTGTAAGGCTATTGCTTCCACATATAGTGATTCTTCTGATAGATCTGGGCAAAGTAAATTCAAAACCTCTGGAAAGGATTCACCAGTCTAGATGCCATTAACATTTGTGATTCATGGGCGGAGGTGAAAGTATCTCTCACAGGAGTTTAGAAGAAGTTGATTCTAACCCTCTTGGGTGACTTTGAGGAGTTCAAGACTTCAGAGGAAGAAGCAACTGCAGAGATAGGAGAAATAGCAAGAGATCTAGAATTCTAAGTAAAGCCTGAAGATGTGACAATTCCTACAAGCTCATAATCAAATTTGGAAGGATGAGAAGCTTCTTTTTACGGATAAGCCAAGAAAATGGTTTCTTGAGATGGAATCTATACTTGGTGAAGATGAGTTGAACATTGTTAAAATTACAAGAAAGGATTTAGAATATGATATAAATTTATGTGTATATATGTGTATATACACATATATATGTATAATATAAACTTAATTGATCAAGCAGCAACGGGGTTAGAGAGGATTGACTCTAATTTTGAAAGAAGTTCTACTTCTTTCAAACAAACAGCATCGCATGCTACAGAGAAATCTTTTGTGAAAGGAAGAGTCAATCACTGTGGCAAACTTTATTGTTCTCTTATTTTAAGAAATTGCCATAGCCACCCCACCCTTTAGCAACCATCACTCTGATTAGTCAGCATCCATGAACTTCAAGGCAAGACTCTTCACCACCAAAAATTTACAACTCTCTCAAGGCTCAGATGATCATTAATTAGCATTTTTAGCAATAAAGTATTTTTTAAGGTTTCCACATTTTTTTACACATAATGCTATTGCATACTTACTAGACTACAAGATAGTGTAAACATAACTTTTATATGCACTGTGAAACCAAAACATTTGTGTGACTCACTTTATTGCAATATTCGCTTTATTGCAGTGGTCTGGAACTGAACCTGAAATAACTCTTAGGTAGGTATACATAAAACATAATTCTTAAAAAACGTTGTGTTTATAAATATGTTAGAAGATAATAATATTAAATATATTTAAAATGTAATGTATTTTTGGTGGTTAGATAATGACAAGTGTTTTGTGCAGCATATATTCCATTTGCTGCAATGAACAACATGTCTTTCGTGCCAGGGGAAAAGTCATGCACTTAACACAAAAACCTTCTATTGCAAAATGTAGTCATTATTTTAACATTGTCTCTGCATATGTTTTCTTTAAGAAAATAAGGTGAACAAATGATTGCCGGCTGTTCAAATGATAAATACTCCCTTAAAATAAGTATTGCTCTATTAAATTAATTCATTAATGGGAACATTAGTCAAATTAATTATAACTATTAGTTATCATGGTATTAGACTATGCTTGTCTCTCTTCCCTTGTAAGTTTTGATTATGAAAATTTTAATAAAATTCACTGTAAAAGTATTTTGCCTTTGAAACTTTAAAAAAAGTTACTATTGTAGCACATGCAACTGCCTTTAGCTAATGTCCTCTTCCCACCTCCAAAATTTAATCATACTGTACCTCGAGCAAGGAGCCCTGAAGTCTGTAAATAAGCTTAGCAAAGGCCTGACCTGTAAGCATACAAACGTTAGTTGCTTGTCATTCTGAATCTTTTGTGCCATTTGATTTTCTTCACATATGCAACAACTTCCCCACCAAAAAGTAAATAAACAGAAACAGCTAGGCAAAAATAAATAACTAACTAACCTAGCTAGCTACATTGATAGAGAGATAGCAAACAAATGATCAAATGATTAAACAGTCTGTGCTGGCTCTTTGTTTACCCCTTCAGATCAGTCACCACAGCCCTCCACTCAGTTCTGTGCTATGGGAGTCTGACCTCTCGGATTGCATCAGCTGCACCCAGCGCCCTCTGGCTTCTAATTTAGTTTGTTTAATGGAAGGTACAGACTGGCTAGCAGAGGAAAGCTCCCTCCCTACTGGGCCTTAGGTGGCAGTTGCTGGGTTTCTCTTCCAATGGACTTCCGGGAGGTCCTGTCTTTCAGCTATCCTAGCCTAAGGGTAGTGCTGGCTCCTTGCTCCTACCATTTATACTTTCTTTGGCTGCTCCACATCCTTGCTGGCATTGATAGACTCTAACTTCAGCTATCGTGATAGATGTGTATCTGTATTTCATTGTACTTTAATTTGCAATTCTCTAACCAATTGTGCCTAGCCATTTGCACATCCCTTTTGTTATCCTTATTGATCATTGGAATATACTCTCTTGTGAGGAGTCTTTGCCTGTTTTTTTAAAAAAATCAGTTGTCAGGCCGGGCGCGGTGGCTCACGCCTGTAATCCCAGCACTTTGGGAGGCCAAGGCAGGCGGATCATGAGGTGAAGAGATGGAGACCATCCTGGTCAACATGGTGAAATGCCATCTCTACTAAAAATACAAAAATTAGTCGGGCATGGTGGCGCATGCCTGTAGTCCCAGCTACTCGGGAGGCTAAAGCAGGAGAATCACTTGAACC